GACTCTAAGCCATTTATTCAGATCCAGCTTGATATATTGTTCTATAGCAGACCCCAAGAAACCGCCGCGCCACCCTCGGCCTCTCCGATGTGTAACCGGGCGACCAACGGATCCTCGGGAGCTGAAGAAGAAAAGATTGATATGAGGATTAACCTAAAAGATGTGTCAGACTTTCCTAACTTTGACGGATCTTGGGATGGCAACGGACTTACCTGTGAAACAATAGGGAAGTTGACATTGAAATGGAGGTTTAAAGCCCTAATAGGGATATCAGTGCGCAAGCTACCATCTTTCCACTTATGCCCGAACGAGTACGGGGCGAGTGTCCCGTCGCGCTTCTTGGTCATTAAAACAACGGGATTGAGTATACCAGGGACCGCGGCTGAGGCTAACACGGCGCTCCAAATGACACAATTAGGAGAAGTCAGGTAATTGGCCAAAATTGTAGGAGAATGAGGGTCAGACGGCACACACGAAACGTTCAATATACGTCCTGTCCGTTCGTACGCCTCCTTGAAGGTAGTGGATCCTCTGCAGAACCAACTACACTCACGAGCCCATGTGATAGTGTCAAACCGAGCACCTGTCCGCCACCAACGCCAAATCCATGACGCCATGCCTTCACTACTTGCCCGTATACGATGTGCCAGAGCCGGGACGAGGAGTTGTTTCAACTCATCATCGGTCCTAGTCGCGATTAAGGCAGCAACCAAGGCTCCTCCCGACGTTCCCGTTATGATTTCGGGCAGGACTCCGTTATCCAGCAATGCTCTAGCCACGCCGAAATGATAGTAAGCAAAAGTGGCACCTCCGGATAAGCAAAGGGCAGTCCGTCCAAAATTCGTATCTAGATGCTTGAAATGCTGATACTTGTCCTCACTGCTGACCCGCTTGTTGCTCGATACCACTTGGATACACTTCTCCACTTCGTCAATGTACTCCTGCACAAGGTTCTTAGTTCCGGAATACGTTTCACTATAAAGTCGAGGATTTTCCACCCCTGCGAAGTTGTTCTTGACGCAGCCCTCCAGCAACGCACATAGTTCTTCGGTCGCAGGGGTCACGGTCGAGCTGGAAACTCCATTTCGCATCTGCAGTTCGACATCTGTCCGCGCCTTTCTTAACTGGTTGACCAGTTTGTTGATAGTGAGATGATCATAGTACGCATATTCATCGATTTCCTTCCACTGCTGGTTTCCCAAGTGATCATCGAGCGCTTGGGCGGCTTTCAACCAATCGTTGTAATCCGTCTGCTTCCAGAGTTCCCGCCTGAGAGATTCCTTCTTGCCCCTCCAGGATACCCATCGTTCATATAATACGATGTAAAAGCGGGTCAATGCGTAGGCAAACCCCAGAACGGTAATCCAGCCAAACACGATGAAGAGAAACGGCCATTTCAGGACTGTGTACAGGACACCTTCCCTCGTTTCATCGGTAGTTCGACGAGGCTGCTTTCGACGGCCGCGATTCTTGCGAACTCGTTGGTAGATAGGTCGCCAGTCGTTGAGGGCTACCAAGGAGCTGGTTTCATTGTCGTTCAGCGCATTCTCGAATTGGCGCAAGTCATCAGGGTCGATAAATTCTCGGTCATAGTCCGGAATCGATTTGGGATCGTAGATGTCGCAAGCCGCAGACTTCTCCGATGAGTTCATTGTTGGATATGGTTCATGATGGATGGTAAGATGATTAGTATGGTCGAGCAAGATGTTGGGATCTGGTTGAGCGACCAATGGATCCAATGGCACGGAATCCTTGTCGGACCAGACAAAATGTACATGTACGTCGACGTCACGTCAGAAGTTACACCGCCTCACAGTTGGACACGAGCCACAGTATCTGTGGCGGAGGAGCTTGGCATTCCGCCACCCAATCTTCCCTAGAAACCGTTGGTGTCCGTTGTTGACCCCGCGCTCGTCAAGACGGACCGAAAACAAAGAACCATGGGTCCCACCAGACATGGGTTTAATCTTCTTTGACGAACCGTCTTCTCAAGTTACACCGAGTTCATAAGTTCTCGTAAACACTCACTTACATACATACTTACAGTACACATTACCCTCAAAAAGAATGACTATAATATTAACTAATAAATTATGAACAGTAATAGTAAATTATAATCCTGGCTCTCTTTCGTTTCTTTTTTTTCCGAAGGATTCTTATCACTTGCATTTCCTTTTCTTCCGTCGAGACAAACAGTATGCAGAGTCAGACCAAAGGATCAGACCATCCCTGCATGCAGACTTGGTTGGTATCTGCTTTATCATCTTTTCTACTTCCCACCGGACAAAACGGCAATCAAACCTTAAGAGTAATCTGACACATCTCTCAACCATGGGAATCAATCCACCCTCCATGACCATCCCCACGCAATTTCCCCTTGTCTTCTCCTACAGCCACCGCGACAAAACGTGCTTACCTAAATGGCCCGTGACGCTGATAGATCGACATTGCAGAGAAGCAAAGGAGACAATCCTTACCCGAAGTATCGCATGATCACCAGCCGACGGGTTAAGTTTGAGCGAATTACATAACAAAGTGTAGCCACGTATTTTAATGGAATGAAGCATGTGTCGCTGAAATCCGGGGAGCATCGGTATGCGTTCTGCCCACGCACACCAACGTTCTGCGTGGGGGAGAAAACACGCGGGATCGGCCATCTGGAATGACTGACCTACCACGATGATGGAGATCTTGGGTCATGGATGATGTCGAATGGACAATCAATGTTGACAACTCCAGGATTCCTGTACATTACACCGTATCACCTTCAAGAATGGGATGGCAATAAGGTAGAGAACACCTTCCCAGTCGTATCTTCATGCGAAGTCTCATTTCGACTATTTGGAAGAAGTACCGCCTCTTTCCAGAAGCACTTCACAGCATTAGCGGCCTGGGTCTAAATAGTACCGACCGATTATACTGTATTTGCGACTGTCTGTATCACCTCTCAGGATTCGAGACTGGGCCAACTGTACGGCGTTGACTATATTGAAAACAAGCCTCTTAGAACATCGAGCATTGCATTGCGGGGTAAATCTCCAGTCAGTTCGGAGATTTTTACAAGTGGCACTCTAGGAGGGGTTGTGTTGAAAGAAAACTCCTAATAATAGTTTAGAAGAAACAGTTGTTCGTCAAGATTACTGGAGATTTTTCTTTGCGTCTTTGAAGGCGGACAAAAACAAGGCGGGTGGATGATTTGCAGCTACTGCTCGATATGGTTGGTCTGACTGCACTCCAGCGGACTAAACCAATCCGAGTATGGACAATGGAAGGTGCTCCACTGCTCACATTTTAGCCTACTCGCTTGGGTGCCGCCGGAAGACTTTACTATCATGCAATAAAAATGCATGGGGAACGTGACCGCAGCAACAGTTGCCTGATAAGGATGTTTTTGTAACAACTCACTTCTTACTTACAGTAGTTGCGATATTTTTTTTTACCCTCTTTCTTGATTTCACTTGCCCTCGAGTTGAAACTTTACCTCTGATTACCTTTTGGTTGCGTTTCGTTCCACCAATATACTTTTCCCACTTTTCTTTATCCACTCAATTTCAGGATGAAGCGATCCGCTCTACCAGGTTTCTAAACCCGAAGCTTTGGATATCTCGGCAAATGAAGACAATGTTTGCCATTTTGGCGGTCTACCTATTTTATTTTCCTTCAAATAATAAAAAATTAATAATAATAATAAAATAAACTCCTCGCGCGATAACCGCTTGGTGTTTCATAGTCGGCTCGCATCCTTGGGACCTTCCCCCCTTTGTCTTTGGAATGGAATTCCTGAGTGAATCAATCGCTCTCGTGGCTTTCCTAAAAGGGGAGGGTGCATCAGGGCTAATTTTAAAAAACCTTTTTACCCCAACACCACCACTTCATCTTCGCCCTTGTTCTCCCGCATTCTCTCTAATGCATGACGATCGGGGTCGGTGTTTTTTCCACTGGGTACGTGTGCCACACACACACACACACACACAGACGGTACACAGTGGCACACACACTAAGATACTACTCCCTCCCTTATCGACATCTTCACTTGGCACTTCTTAGCCCTTCGTCATTTCATGAACGCAAATGTCTACTCGGACGAATGTGATTGGTAGGAGACTCTCACCTCGCGGGAGCCACCCGTTGATCATTCGAGCGGTTGACTACCTTTCGGTGGAGACCCGCCTCGTCAGATCTCCCATATCCACCAATCCACCGACTAATCGCCGGCTGGGTTGCCCTTTTGGAGGATTCACTTTGAGATGAGTTTTTTTTTTTTTTCTTTTGTTCTTTCTTTCTTTCCCCCTTTCTTTTTTTTGCTTTGCCATAGAGACAACGATGTCATAAATTGATGATCATGTGAGTGGCCTGGCGCTTGATTGGTGAAGGACAGAATAAGGAGTCCCGTTCCAATACAGTGCCTCACCCCGATGATCCAATTCTTTCTCCTCCATGTATTGGATGTACAGAGACATTATACGCATACGGAACCACCTCTTGCTCAGTTTTCTGGCACTGACGTAGGTATACGAAGGATGGAAGAAAACAAATTGCTACATCGGAGAGTGGAGGAATCATCAGCCCCAACATGGTGTTGTCGCCAAGAACATTCTTACTCAATCATGCCTTACACCATGATCCAAGGATCTTGGTCAACACCCCCCAAGGAAACCTACTCCTTACTTCCTGCATAATATCGAAAGGTTATATGTTAATCCGCCAATGCAGATTACTCTTCTTTTTCGTAGGACTCCTAGCTTGCTAGGTTATGCAGAACCTGACTTGGATAACTTTTTTCCTATTGGCGACACCGCAGGTCTCACTGTATAGGTACATGCTGCAAGTCTAAGAACATACAGCTGTAGTTTGCTCGGCATCGATAGGTTAACCGTCCAGTTAATATGGCGACGCACGCCCACAGACAGTTAAAACTTGTTTAATACTTGATACTTCCTTCGCCTGCCACCTCAAATATACTGGTAATTTAGAGGCAACATATGTATCATGTTTGAAACATGGTTGAATCGCCTGAGGTATCATGTGCATCCTCCATTCAATCCTCATCAGATACGTCTGAAGATGCGGCACGAAAGGTTGTTCTGTTTCCATATCCGGCGGCGGGTTACGGTCATGTACCAATCATGGGCGTCATCCTTCCAAAGCCACTGACCAATATCCTTGTTACGATCGGTGTTTAGAAGAGATCACACGAACGTGGGCCACTGGAGACGGAGACGAAGTCGAAGAAGGCGAAAGGAAGAAAATGGGTTGGACCCGTGGGTCAAGTATGATGTAGGTTTAATGACCTATTTTCCGATTTGGGACAATGGAGGGATGGAATTACCGAAGAATGTGTGGTGTGATGATGGAGCATGAGCGGTGTGACTGACAGGCGGATACTCCTTAGTAACTTACTACTATGTAGTATATCGATGATACGATCGGACTACAGTACTAGTCTTATCGCTCTCTCCGATAGCGCTTGAGTCACAGATCCGTATCATTGCCTCTATCAATCATGATTCTTGTCAATTGAGATATCAGCACTAAATGCACTGACTCAGATCAAACATGTTGAATTCATGAGTCAAGGGCAATAAGAAAAAAAAAAAAAAAAAGCGATCGTCCATATAACATGACGGTTGATGGCTGAATTTATCTCGGTCCGAAGTAGGCTGAGGTCATTTGATACTAAAAGATTGAGGAACTAACAAATTAGCGCCCTCCACTTGAGCCTCCGAAGAATGTCAACGTCAGTGCGAGATACCGACGCAGTACTCCGGCACTGATAGGAAACAAAAATGCGGGAGGTACCTCCAGGAGCATTATGTTCCGAATCTCGTCTCTGGTAGGGTAGTACGTAGTAACCGTAGGATCTCATGCATACAAGCGCCATGGATCTGCTGAAACGTTTCTAGACCTCATCAAAATGAAGCCACTACTGTATGGTCTTTTTGCATGATACCTATACTTAGGAACGACAAGAGTACCTACTAGTAGGAGTATTTGGTACTACTAAGGTACCTAAGTACTAGTGATACCCCCTATTGGCGCCATTCCTCTGCATGAGCCAACTTCGAACACCCCCTAGAGCCTCTATACCCGGTAAAGCGTCATGCAGGTGACCAGGGTATGTCCGTGATTCGTCCAATGCCGACCAACTTGAAATGCCCGCCAGGACGCTATCGGCTGCACGTTGCGCCCCACCACCAATCACGATGTGTACTATCCGTACCAGCGGGTGGGTCTTCTCAACCTTAGGTCACGAAAGCACGGGTCACCCTAACATCCTTCCAACCATCACTTCCCACCCCTCCAAAAAAAAAAAAAAAAAAAAAAAAAAGCAAAACAAAACAAAACAAAATAAGAAAAAGAAAAGAAAAGAAAAGAAAGCCTTTTTCACCGACCTGCAGAAGGAGGTTGAAGCCTTTTTTTGAATTGGTTACAAACAAAACGAATTAACTGTTAGTGATCAGCTCATCTGCCATCGTGGAAAAGTACCTATACGAATCACATTGCGAATTGCCTCTTAGCTTAATTTATCGATAGCCTTTCTGTCGTCTTCGTGTTGACCTCTGATCAACAAATTGTTTTTAATCTATTCTCGCATCCTGGTATTCAATGGACGTACTGAAATGGGTCGACCGATCGGGATATCCGCTCTCGAGGGACTCGGAAAGTTACTCCACCTTACAGAGCCGAAGAATGTCACTTTCTGGGTTGGATGTTATGTTGATTGATGACATGACACTCTTCTCAATCTGAAACTGATAGATATTTGCCGTTCCAATGGTTCACCAAAGGGGCCAAGAGCTATTCCCCAAATTTCGGACGCTCATGACTGGTACAGAATTGCAATAGGGATACAAGAGAAGGTTCGCAACCCCGCCATTGGAGATACACTCATTCTCTTGGTCAATCTTCCAGAATAGAGTCGCCTTCATGATTTGATAAGGACAGATGAGCGGTCGACACGCTGAGTAACGACTAATATATACGAACCATTGTGGCCACCAGTGAGATTTACAGATAAAGGGGTAAAGGTTAAAACAATTAAAAGAAAGAAAAAAAAAGAAAAGAGAAAACCATGGATGCATACGAGGTATACCGCATACAGCGTAGTATTCCCAACTGTAACCGGCTGCGCCCGTACCGTACGGTACGTATGCATGTACGGACCTTGAGCACGGGTACAGCGGCTCGCCAACCAAAGGGAGATCAGAGCACCGATAAGAGGGTATCATTTTATATACGATAATTAATTATATTAGTATATCGCCAGCCGCTGTTCCCTCAGCATTTTCTCTCTTCCTTCGCTTCCATTTTTTTCCCTCTCAAACCCCCCTCTTCTATCACGAGTATATATCTACTTATCAATTAAAACAGATTGGGTGGTTCATCATCGACATTGATCCGAATCCTTTCTTGGAGTGTATTAAACAAAAATTACCTGTTTCTGTTAATTTTTTACGTTCTATTTTATTTTTATTATACATTTTTTTCTCCGTTGCCTACTTGACATTTTTCCTGTTCCCCAATTTAACTCAAGCTAAATTACCTTGTCATTCGCTGCTGACGCCTCTCAGCCCCTCTCAGCTGATTGATCGAGGTGCACATCCATATCCACCGTTGCCCCCCATCATCCACCACCACTAATTCCACTAGAGGGTGGTTCTCGCATTTTAGCGCCCTTGGATCCTGTCTTTTCTATCCCATCCCATCCCGTCTTCTCCTTTTGGGTGGTCACTGTTTTCAACACGCCTCATTTTCTCTGTCCAGGCGACTACGTCTTTCCTCAGCTGAGTATTGAGAATCAACTTTTGTCTCAGCTCTCTTCCTCCAAGCCGTCTATCAATCATTGTCGTGGTTGGAGACCTCGTGAATTAGTACAAGGTCTCTTCTTGATTATTTTAACACCGGAGATTTTCCAGGTATGCTCACCTCTGCCTTGCTTTTTTTTTTTTTTCTTCTTTCTTTCACCCCTCAGGCCGGTTGCAATCCCCAATAGCCCTAGGTTCACTACATGGTTACACGGGCATGGAAGACGTGCTTCAGTAATCGTTGCTGACTGTTTGCTTCCCCTGACGTAACAGGTCGTCTCGCGTCTCACTTTTTCTAGTTGTCAGCAAAATGTCGACTTCTGTTTTGAACACTGCGAGTAGTTGTTGAGCGCTCCTCTTCAAAGTTCGCCTGACGTGATCGTGTCTCGTTGGGCGAGGCATTGTCCGTAATGGAGAAGCTGAACAATGAAGATGGACAGCTTTTCATAAAGGTTCGTATCCCATGCATAACATTGATCTTGTTCATTCTTTATCCTGGCTCGTCAATAGGCTGGCTTCTTTATCCACTAACTCGGGGATGTTATGTAGAATCTCGCCAGTTTTGTACGAACCCATGAGAAGGCACTCGCCAACGCGCTTCAGTTGAAACGTCAACCTAGCAAAAATGCGTCCACTCAGTCGAGCTCGTCTACGAGCTCGGCCTCATCGGCTTTGGCGGCAGCCTTGTCATTCGGTGCCTTGAAATTCACCTCTCAAACCATTAAACCCGCTAAACTTACCCTGACCCCTCACCACCTCTTCTACCTCCTCTCCCGATTCGAAGAACTCTCTATAGCCGTGGGCCCTATGAATGTTAGACTGGAGAATATTCATACCGACGTGTCGCAGTCCTATGTTTCGTTCCTGAATAAGCCTCAACGGTCCAGGGGCGACAGGGATTCTATCCACTCTGTATCCAGTGTCCGTAGTGTCATGTCTGGCATGAGTGCTCTCTGGTCGTCATTCGGGCTAGGCTCGAAGGACTCCGTCTCCAAGTCAGAGAAGGCCAAAGCAGCCCTAGAAGCAGACCTTAAATATCTTTACTCTGCTTTTACTAAAATTCCGTGCTTGCGCCTAGCCCCTGACCGTCGTGCCCGCCTGATCCGCGGATACGAAGAGTTTCCTTTTGATACCGCTGTCCCTCTCCACTCCTTTAAAAATTTGGGTGGACTAGAGATAATTGATATAGACTTTCGCTCGTTTTACGGCTGGGACCGACTATCCGAGCAACTACGCACCCTTACTGTGAAAAGAGCCAAAATCGAAGATCCCGCGGATCTGTTGACGGGGATAGTGTTGGACGACATTGACAAGCGTCGGCGGCGATCGTCCAAGAATCAGCAATCGCCTGTCCTGGGGTGGAGTGGGAATACATACCCTCAGCCGGTCTATAAGTCCGACGTCTCTGGCTCTCTCTCTGCTCCAGGGTCCCCGGTGGCTGATACGGCGTTCGGTACAAGCACCAGTCCCCAGGCGGCCCCCATGCTTAGAGTAGGATCCGAAGGTGCCAGAGGTCATGCACGAACGGGAAGTATCTCGCCCACGCGCCCGACAAGCTCCAAACACTCTTCCCACCGCCATAGCCGGCGCATACGACGCACCGGATCTGGTAGTTCAAACTCGAGTGATAACACCGGTCATCGTAATGGAAGTTCTTCGAACCTTGCTGCTGGCGGTCTTCCACCGTCCAAATGGCAATTTTTGCGGCACCTGGGTTTTCCAGATAACTCTTTGACCTCCATCACGGCCGCCGGACTTGCTCCGGTTGCCAATACGCTGTACTCTCTTGATCTGTCGGCGAATCTCTTCACCGAGGTCCCGGACAGCCTCGCAACACTAGTTGCTTTGCGAGCCCTTAATCTCTCAAACTGCATGATAGAATCTCTCCACTCACTGTCTCGCAACCCTCTTCCTGCTATAACCGCTCTTAATCTTCGCGGCAACCGGCTTCGCTCGCTTGCTGGCATTGAAAGGCTACTCTCCCTGGAAAGGTTGGACCTCCGAGACAATGACCTAACCGACCCCACTGAGATTGCCCGACTAACGAGTCTCCCTGAGATACGGGAGATTTGGGTGTCTGGGAATCCTTTCGTGAAAACGCATTCTGGCTACCGCGTTGTAATTTTCAACCTCTTCCGTCGTACTCCGGGATACTCAGAAGACATCATTATCGATGGATCCGGTCCAGGGTACACGGAGAGGAAGCAGTTAATTGACCGGGTTGCCGAGCCCGAAGGTACACCGGTCATACGATCAGCTGCCGCGGACCACTCGGCCGTCGTCAGCAAATCAGCCAACACCGCAGTACCGGGAGCCGCAGCTGTCGGGCCCGCTGAGGGAGAAGATGGTTGTGCACGACGAACATTACAAAATGAATATGGCGTTGGGTCTACTCGTCGCAAGAAAGGTCATCGAAGGAGGATTGTCAACACGTCTGTGGAGAAGGCCTCAACTGATGGTAAAGAAACCCCAGGTGCGATGGTGCCTTCTGTCCTTCCTGTTCAGCATATTCAATTACCCGTTGATCCATTTGTGACACCGTCTTCCGACCGTCAACGGAGATCTGATGGTGGACCTCAGGTCGGACCTGCGAAAGTTCGAAGCCCAGAAAAGGTCGACGGTGATCCAGACCTCACCAGCCAGCCGATGAACGAGTCTTTTGTCATACCGCGGGCAGTCCAGGATCTGGACTGGAACGCGGATGGCAAGTTTTACCGGCGGCAACTGGAGGCTCTGAAACACGACGTCGGCAACACCTGGCTCCATGCGCTGGGAGACCGTGGCTGGGATCAACCACCACGGGACATCAACGTTCCTCGCACGGGTGTGAACCTCGGGGATTCAGCAATTATCCCAGCAGAGGCACTTACCCGGGCAAACAACCTACCCATTCTGAGCGGAGGCCGACCCTGAGTTGCCCATCCGTATCTACTGGTTGGCGTACCGCCAAGCAGCACAAAAGTCGTTCAAGTTGGCTCGTTTACCTGGTTCCTTTCGCCTATCAATTTTTTCTTAACTATTACCATCACCCCCGTCACGTTTCATACCTGTGGCAGTGGCAGTTGGCCACTGAGTGCATTTGGTGGCGTTCTATGGCCTTTCAAGATAGCGGGCCGGATGTCTGAACATTTCTGCTTTTTACGACTACGAGATTTTTACCCTCTCACCACTCTCCTATCTACCGTACACCTTGCATTCGACCGTTTCAGGCTGGTCCATGTTATGGGAGGCAATTTATTCACGAGATTCACCGTCTCTAGACCGCATGTATTATTGTATTTGGTGAAGGGTTTATGGTGTTCATAGGCGTTTCTGAAGCTTCTTGTTTTCTTTCTTTTTTCATCCCGCCTTTTGATGATTTCCTGGCCCTTTTTTCTTCGTCTCTTTTTAACTCTTCTTCTATTCTTCATCCTCTCTAATGATTTACTGAGGGGGCTTGATTTGACGCATGTTGAGATGCCACACTGTTGATTTGCTTGATGTATACCTCTTTTCTGTTGTTTCCTTTTCTCCTATCATCCCAGATTACCCCCTGCTCGAGTTTCGGGAGTTCCGCAGAGCAGTGATGAAGTTCGGACCTAATGCATGAGACATGAAAAGAGAAAATGAGCGAGAGTCATTTTGCGCGTGCGCGAGAGAAGAGAGTGAGACCATCTCTCCGTGAATCAATACTAGCAGTAGTAGTAGTTGAATGCAAAAGCGCGTTGGGCGTTGACGAAGATGCACTGCGTCATAGATTTCGCGTAGGAGTAAAAGTGTGGTTGGGATAAGAATACTGAGAGACTAAGGCACGTAAGTGCTTTATGCACAACATCTGCTGACAGGAGAAAATTCGATTTGATGGGCTGTCATGGATCGGATGTCAATTTTTTTTTTTCTTTCTCCTACTGGTGAGGGTCAGCGCCTTTGAGGAGCGAATGCGCGCGATCAGAGCCTGGTGGCGATAGAAGTAGATCAGATGGGGTCCGATGGAAATTGATAGCATGTATTCTAGGTCGGGTGGAAGAGATCTATTCAGAATAACTGTTAGTGGGAAGGAGAGAAGGGAATCCAGTAGTCATTAGAGTCAAGATAAGGGTAACATCGTTGAAAGAATTGAAGTTGAGGTTGTAGTTGAATGAATTGAATGATGGATAAAGGAACCCATACAATCTCCCCAAACAAACGATGGACCAATGAGAGAGCGAGGATGGCCGGGCGGCCGAGCGACTGAAGGAACCTTTGGGTTTTTTTTTTCTTGAGTTTCTCTTCGTCTTTTTCACTCTCTCACTGGTCAACCTGCCCTCTTTGGTGAGTCTACCCTTTGATCTCCTTCCCCGTCTCGACCCTGCCCACTCCTACTCCTCCTCCTCTTCTTCTCTCTCTCCCTCTCTCTCTCTTCTCCCTGAAGAATCCAAGATAAGGAAACAAAAATAGAAAAGAAAAGAAAAATCCTCATTCTCATTCTGCTGCCCAAATAGGTCCCAACCTAGGCCGAATTATCAAAAAATTTTCAGCCGTCTGAGCGGAACAGGAAAAAGATCCCTTGATTGCCGACGCTCTCGCTTTCGTTCTCTCGCTCGCTCTCTCTCTCTCTTTCTCAACAATCCCCTTCCACCACAACAACCCCTTCACGCCACCACAAGATCGCTTTTGCTTTCCTGGCAAGCTTTCCCATCTCAACCTTCCGATTTACACGGCTTTTCGGCCATTCTATCGCATCCTCTTTCCCCCCAAAAAAAGGGAAATTTAATAGCCCGTCGAGTTTTCCGCCTAAGGTTTCTGGTCAACAACTTATTTTTTCCTTTTTGCTCATCCACAGTCTTTGAGGCTTTGTTTCATCGCTCGGAATCCGCATCATCCTATTCTCACCGCGCGTCATCTACGATCTGGAGGGGAGTGTTTGATCTTCACACCTCGTCTGGCTCCTCGCCAGATTCCCCGATTGTACAAGGCCGTTTGGCCTGTTTTCGTTTCCATATCTTGTTGTTCCCTTTAGATCCGTTTGGTAAGCGCTCCACCCCTCTTTCATCGCTGCCTCAACCACGACGAGCCCGAGCGCATTGTTCACGCGTTTTTCGCCGGGCCTTGACCAGACCCATCGAAATTTTCTATCCTCCATGACCGGAGAGGGATGCTAATAGTTTGGTTATCACAGTATAGACGCCGCGTCATTGTAACAAGCGTTTCGCGAACTACTCTTTATCCTTCCTTTTCTTTCCTCATTGCTTACGCTCGTGTGCATTACCTACTCTTTGCTTTTCTTTCGCTCCCGTCGTCTCTCGTTAGAGCCCCGTCGCCATGGCTGATCAGGAAGTGGATTTGGACTCGATCATTGATAGATTGTTGGAGGTGAGGGGTAGCCGCCCTGGAAAGCAGGTTCAGTTGTTGGAATCAGAGATTCGTTATCTCTGCACCAAGGCTCGGGAAATTTTCATCTCGCAACCCATCCTGCTAGAGTTGGAAGCGCCAATCAAGGTAACGCCGCGGCCCTGTCTCCTGAGCCGGAATCTCGGGTAACAATGGCTTTGTCCCTGAGGGCTAACGTGCTGGCGCGATCAGATTTGCGGTGATATTCACGGCCAATACTACGATCTTTTGCGTCTTTTCGAATACGGTGGATTCCCGCCCGAGGCCAACTACCTATTCCTTGGAGACTACGTGGACCGTGGCAAGCAGTCCCTCGAGACCATCTGTCTACTCCTGGCATACAAGATCAAGTACCCCGAAAACTTCTTCGTTCTCCGTGGAAACCACGAATGCGCATCCATCAACCGTATCTACGGCTTCTACGATGAATGTAAGCGGAGGTATAACATCAAGCTGTGGAAGACTTTCACCGATTGCTTCAACTGCCTCCCCATTGCGGCTATCATTGATGAGAAGATCTTCACCATGCATGGTGGTCTGAGCCCCGATCTGAACTCCATGGAGCAAATTCGCCGTGTGATGCGTCCCACTGATGTAAGTGCCCCTCTGTTACCCCACCCCCGCCCATCGTGGTTTATCTGTTGGAGATTTTTCTTTGCCCTCTGGCAGTTCAACCGGGTGCCACGATGGGTTCTCCCCATTGATCCAAATCCTTCTCGCCTGGCTCCTGAAGCTCAAGGCTTGGCCTGCTAACGAGAACAGATTCCTGACTGCGGTCTCCTGTGCGATCTTCTGTGGTCCGATCCGGACAAGGACATCACGGGCTGGAGTGAAAACGACCGAGGTGTTTCGTTCACGTTTGGTCCCGATGTCGTCTCCCGTTTCCTCCAGAAACATGATATGGATTTGATTTGCCGTGCACACCAAGTGGTCGAGGACGGCTATGAGTTCTTCTCCAAGCGTCAACTCGTCACGCTTTTCAGTGCCCCCAACTATTGTGGAGAGTTTGACAACGCTGGTGCCATGATGAGTGTCGATGAGAGTCTACTCTGTTCCTTCCAGGTATGTTGCCGCTCGCGTTACCCCGCTCAATGTGACGATACAGGAAGCTAACCTGTTTCTCGCAGATCTTGAAACCAGCAGAAAAGAAACAAAAGTACGTTTACGGGGGCATGAGCTCAAACAGGCCCATCACTCCTCCGCGAAAGCAAAAGAAGAAGTAAGACATACGAGCTTTTCCATGTGCAGCAGGTTCGGACGGAGATAAACACAACATACCCACCCACTCATCACCACACGAGACCGGATCCAGATCCCCCGCATCATCGATGGCCAATGCATTAGACGGTCGGAAGCAGCAGATACAACAGGTCACCCGAAAGAGCCTTACGATATGCAGAGCGTCATTTCCTCCCCCGCATACCACCTCCAGCGACTCCGAGTGATTTCTTTTCCTTTGCGCTGAATATGTTATTTTCCCTATCTCTTTATATGGAAGGTACTTCTGCTCCCGTCGGGGTCGGTGTTCTACTCTTTTTTTTTTTCTTTACTTTCTATTTCCTTGTTTATTTTCACTTCTTTTCCTTTTCCTTTTCTTTGACTCTTGTCTTGTCCGAATCATTTACTGAGGGAGGGAAAGCGACGGGCTGCATCTGGTGTTCTCCGTTTGCGCTTTTTTGAAAATCTTCCTGTGAGTGTAATGCCAACCAAATAAGCAACGACATGTCCATGTCTTTGAACTGCAAGATCCATCCCATCCCCCAATAGCCGTCCTTGCCTACCCTGCCCTTCTACTTTCCATAACCCTTTACCCAGTGGACCCGTAATGGGATCTCTCGAGGGTCTTGTGAAGCGGCCCCGTGCAATGAACTCGAATGGATTGGATGACTTGACGATAACGAACACCGCATGCCATCATATCAGCACATCATGTATCCCTTATCATGTTCATGATGAGTCCATGTTATTGGTTTATTGATTCTTTTCATCTAGTGGCAAAAGAAACCCAACATTTGATGCGACAATAGCCTGCTGCTCTCTCTCCCCCTTTCCTCTTCCTGGCTCGTCTGTGCAGAGGTGATGGAGATTTTTCGGATCAATCCATTTCATTCAATGTATTACTGTATTTTAGAGGCATAATTATCGGACTTGTTGATCTCTTTCTTTTTTTTTTTTTTTTTTTTCTTTTGGTAAAGAACTTCATTGGTAAGTGGGGGTAGATATTTGGAATGCTTTGTACTGTCAGTATTCATGCCCCCTACTAGCAGTATATAGACACCCCAGTATTTGAAGGGTAGAGCGTTGTTTATCTTTGCTATCTACTACATATATTCACGGTTTTCTTGAACTGCTACCTAGTCCACAAAACCTCGAAATTCTCAATGATAAGCTGTGATATCAATCACTCATTGTGTTGCCCCCAGCCACTGTATAACGCTACGGTTTCAAATGATAACAATGAGCAAAGAAATGCGGACAAGTCAAAGTAAAAGAAAATTAGACCTAGTAAATAGCTAATTCAAACAAGCTAAAAATCGATTGACGATTGATCATAATCAATTACATGCCACCGAAACCAGGAGAGACGATGTGCGAGATATCAAAATAGAAAGAAGTACTCCGTCCAGTCCATCTACTCATGAACTCCCTCCCCCTTGTAATGTTTCCGCTCAAGCTTGCATACGATTTTTTGTTATTTTTCAAGCTTAAACGTATTGAGACAGCCACCTGATACCCTCGCCGTAACCTGTGATTGATTAGTTGTTGTGTTTCCCATGGAATGTGACGGATAGATTAGAAACGGGGCTGAGGGGCTTGGCAGGACTCACCCTGTCTCATCACGACACTGCACATGAAGACCTCGATCGGTCGGATGCCCTCGAGCGGCACCTTGCCCTTTCCTGTGGTCTGGTAGAGTCCCAGCTGGTGTCTGAGTTCGTCCTCGCTGACGGCGTCGGGGTGGTCGATCTTGTTGCCGAGAATGAGGAAGGGGACCTTGGCGAGCTCCTCCATGGCGAGGAGGGCGTCGAGCTCGGCCTTGGACTCGGGGAAACGCTCGTGGTCCTTGGCGTCAACGAGGAAAACGATACCGCTCACTTCAGGGAAGTAGTCCTTCCAAAGACGACGGGCTGTACTCGGAGTGCGTTGTCAGAAGTTGATTCACCCGATGGAAGGAGTATGGTTGATTGGGGATAAAGCGTAGATATGAAGAGGGATAGATAGGTAAGGTAAAATGTGTCTTATGCACTTACCCTGCTGGTGACCACCCAAGTCAAAAGTAGTGAAGCGGTTGTTTCCAATAGCAAGCTCCTCCGACGCTGTTGTTGGTGCCCGGTTAGCCTTTGGACCAATTTGCCACCCGATTCTAGTCCCCCAATAAATCGACCAGTGCCACGTCCACATCGTTTTAAGGTCAAGGATAACATACTCGGATGAGCGGTAGGCTGGAGGACGGCAACCCGGTCGTTCTAATATTTCCCTCGCGTTAGCATATGGCCTAAACTGTCTTTCATTTCCTGGACCGCAATTGAGCGGCCGCGTCACACTGCGCCTGGGTATACGGTGGCGGGAGCGGGAGAGGGTGTGCAGGGGTAGGTACACACCTTCAACATGTGCAGAAGAGTCGTCTTTCCGGCATTGTCGAGGCCGAGGAAGAGGAGCTTGGCGTGCTTGTTGAGCAGGCCGAGGGAGGCCAAGATATCGTAGACTGTGCGGAGGGGACCATCAGCGACTGCATTGCTTTCATCGACGGTATGTCAAGGATGAAGATGGCCAGGTAGTGGATGGGATTAAGAAGAGGTCCATTCCGAAGGGGGTATAATGGAGTTTTGCATTTGGGTCTGCAGATCGACTTGTTCAAAAACAAGTGGCCGACCGGGAAGACAGGAAACGGGGGAACAGCACGTACACCAGTTAATGATCCACATGGTGAGATCGATTCAGTCCAGATGGGTAGGTACTGAAGATCGGTGATATGGAGTGCGAAGCTTGCGAAGGCTGGAGCGCTGGCGGTGAGGTTTGAAGAAGATAAGACACGGTTGCGGTGGTTGACGTTGGGCTTTCGCTTGCCTGACGCTTAGCGCTCGGCTAAGCCAACCAAAGCGCCGGGAGATCAGCCGGGACCACGTATGTCTATATCTCCCATTAGTACCTGAATCTCGGTCATTTTTTTCTTCTTCTCTTCGATTCTAAAAACGAAAGTCAACTACAAAGGATGTAAAGTAAGTCTTTGGTTTTGTATGTATATTTTTTCATTTGTTTGAAATTCGGATATTCTGAGGGACCAGCACACTGATCAGTCGGTTGGAACCGGTATCTACAACGTCGCGCGCAACAACCAAAAGGGGGTATACACTTCATGAACCGCCTCCATGCAACAAAGATTAAAACAAAAAAACAGACCAAACCAGAGTCCCGACCAGAAACAGAGGCCGCCCAACAGAAGGGATGTCATAAAAATAGTAATAAAAGGGAGTGCGGGTAACAAATATGTATCACAAGAAACGAAGAAGCAAAAGCGATCGCCCTGTAAATGCAAACAAATGTCCTCCGAAGCAGAAAGCCATCAGCCAGGTAGGAAACAACAGTCAACGAGTGGGTGATCGTTAAAAATAATCAATATTTACAAGAAAGGCATGTATCCCTTCTGATGAAGAATGGAAAAGTCTAAACAGATAGGACGAGCTGTGCGTCTTCTCCGACACCGTAGGCTCGGCACCTCTCAGCAACTGCGAGGCCCAGGTCCTTCATCCGTTCAGCACCCTTTCCGGGAATGGGCCGCCGCTCCATCTGCTCCTTGGCAGCTTTGCGGCAGTGTTGACGCCAGTACTTTTCTTTGCGCTTCTGGCGCTTCTTCTCGAGACCCTCAACAATGTCGATGGGGCCTCTGGTATGCACTTCACGAGTGCGGGATGATTCACGCTCAGGTGACTCTCGGAGGGGAACAATACCTGTCCAGCGATAAGAGCCATCCTGTTTAGCGAAGAAGGGGTTGGGTGTCCGAGGAAGCGACTTGGTACGAGTAACGTGCCGGCGTTGAACCAACTCGCTGATGTTCACACCAGGAGCCTGAAGATGGGTGACATCGTCGCCGACAGTCTGTTCGGCTTTAGCCGGGGACTTTAACTTCACCGGTGGTGGTGGAGAGCGTAGACGCCTGGGGGAGGAGCGGCCATGGCGGCGAGGAGGAGGTGGAGAGACCATCCGCTTGGGAGACAAGCGAGGGGACTGCTTCCGAGTCTGGTCAGCCCCAGATCTTCCTCGAGCCGGTTCGTCGACCATGATAGACTCTGCCAGATCGTCGTCGTCATCCTCATCCTCCTCATCAAGATCCGATGTGGGGAAGCTAGGGTCGATGTCTTGAGGGATGATGATTTGCTTGGAGAGTCGACGCTGTTCGATGCAAGACTTGTAGGCAGCTTCCAGAGGTCGATCTTCATCAAACGTGCCGCAGACAAAGTCTGTACTGTCAGGCAAGTTGGGGGTCCTAGGGCGCATCTTCATAGGCTTCGCACGGTTGATGCCTTTGCCCGAGAGTGCAGGTGGCCATCTCCGGCTCAGATCATCATAACCAGAGTCGAAGGACGTGTTCGAGTCCCTCCGAGGGAGAACAGTAGGAGGAACCTCGAGAGTCAGAGGACTGGTTGCGGCAGTAGTCGTGGCAGGAGCCCAAAATTCATACTCGGAGCCATCATCGCTCTCATCTGAATCCGCAAAGCCTGCCTCGTTATCTGACTCGTTACCATCATCCGATGAGAGGTCACTGACAGTTGACTCATCGTCATCGTCATCATCCTCATCATCGTCGTCGTCCTCTTCTTCATCCTCTGCTTCGTCCTCAAGAGCCTCCTCCTCTGCTTCTTCGCCGAGTTTCCGAATCGCGATTTCTTTCTTCATGCAATCACTCATGGTGATCTTGTCCGTGTAGTCACCAGACTTGGTGACCCATTCATCATCTTCCTCCTCAGAGCTAGCAAACTCGTGGAAGCGAGTCGCCTCAGACTCTTCGAACTTGCCCAGACCGCTCGTGGGTACACCCCTCTTCTCGGTGGCTGGCTTCTGGACCTGGGCGACTGGAGGCACAACCTTCTCAGGAGATGCCTTACGAGAGATAGGGGCAGGTGACCCGCGAGGACGTGATCGTAAACTGACACCACGGCACGGAGACCGTTCTCTTTTCGTCTCCGGGTCACGGGCTGGGCAAACGAAGGTGAGGACCGTCCTCCGCTTCGCAGGCTCTGTTGGGGTAGGGTTGGTATCATTCTTCTGCACGGTCGGTCGTTGCGGTGTGGGTGGTTGGACCTTCGACTCCTCCGTTTTACGCCCGCATGCAAAGCTGATGCATCTCTTGCGTCCGAGGTTGGCCTCTACAGTCGACTCGCTAGTCTGTATGGTCAACTTCTTGTTGCTGCCCATTGACGGGGCTTTGCTGGATAGCTGAGCTGGTAGAGGTGGGCTGGGGGTGCTGGACAAAGATGGACTGCTCAAGCCTTCGTCGCTAGTCAATTCAGCAGTCGACACGCCGCTAACGTTACTATGAGGGTACGAGCGGTAGAAGGACCGGTCACGGGGTGAGGGAAGCTCTTCAGACGGGCTTAGAGTCGGGCTGTGCCGGAGGGCACGGGTGAGGAGGGATTCTTTCTTATCACTCATGGCGGTGGGAGACTTGACGTAAACCACACCGTCGTCAACGTTCATTGGGGCGGTATTTAGGAACCGGTGATCGGGAGGTTCATCGATGTCCTCAGTCATTGCGTTTTCTTGCGGGGCAGACTTGTTGGACTGATGAGGTGAGAGTAGCATCTTCAAGATGTGTTGTATCGACGAGAAAGGTCGGTCACCACCACGGAAGTTGGCCATCACTTTATGATTATATTAATACTGACGACAGGGAGTATGTGAGAGAAACAAGGTGAGTGAGGATAAAGAGACAGCTCGGTAGGTAGTAGTATGGTGAGAGGTGGAAAGGATAGTGGGCGACGGCGAAGATTGGAGGATTCAATTGCTTGAAAAGAATATAATCCGATAAGTTCATCAATCAAATATATTGAATAAGAAGATGCTCTCTCAATATCGATCAATTGTGCAACCGATCGAGCCAGAGGGCAGAAGAGAATGGGGTCCCAAAAAGGACGAAGATGGTCATGATATACAAGGCATGGTGTTGAGGTATGGCGCAGCAGGGAGAGGAGACGATGGCGTCTGGTATGCGGCCAAGATCTGAGATCTACGCCTTCTTCAATAGATGGCAGCTCAAAGAGCGCCAGAAGAAGACGCGTTCAAGAAAAGCTCCAGAAAAAAAAAAACAATGTGTTGGCAATAGTAGGCTTTGAGTTCGAGATGAAGGAAGAAGGAATGTTAAGAGGAAGTCGGAAAATAAAAAAGTGATATTGGGAAGGGAGGGGAGGGCAAAAAGTGTATTTTAATAAAAAAAAAATAGAAATTAGAAAAATTAAATAATCAAAACGGAAAATAGAAATAATTAATGATTCAATGGTTAGCAGCCGATACAGTAAGTACGGCGTAATTTAGAGGGGTGGGAGGGTTTAAAGGAAAAAATCATAATTAAAGCAAAAGCAAAAGCAAAAGCAAAATCAAAAAAAAAAAAAAAAAATCCCATCAGGGTAAAATCCTATGACGGGGCGCGGGAGAGCGGCACTGGGTTTGGCTTTTTGGGGGGTGGGAAGCCTTGATCGGTCAGGGTACTCCGTAAGTCACTGGTCAGGAGTGGTTGCCACACTGTCAACGACACTTGAACAACTACAATTAGTCAAGGAAAAAAAAAAAAAAAAAGGGAAAAGAGATCTTCTCTTGGCCTTCTTTTCTTCTGCAGACGCTTGGTCCAACCATCCCCGCCAAGACGGACCCACCCTGTCGCTTTACTCTCCAAACTGATGCATGCTTCTGTTCCTGCGGCTACGTGACGCTGGCTGAAAAAATACAGTACTGCTGTTTTTTTTTGCAAGTTGACGGTGTACTGCCTCGAACAATCTCGTTGAGAATAATTTGGGAAGAAATTCTTTATTAGGAGATATTTTCTCAAAGTAGATCTCTGTATCTTCCTAGAAGCGAGATCATCTCGTCTAATTGTCTGAAACTGCGTAGGTTGAACCCTAAGATTCAAAGGACTGAAAGAAGATTGATGGTTACGAGCCGGTTTCACCCATCGGGACCGGATTCATGCCGAGTGAGAGAGATGACTATGAGGCATTTTGGAAAGGTACCCTGGAATTACCCAAAAGGGAAAGGCAGCTGCCGAGCTGACTAACCCGCGCCAGTAATTTGCCCAACAAAAACTACATCATGAAAAGTACAGACCGAGTTTATGCGCACACATGCACACAAATCCATCGGAGGGTATTATCAGAAGAGATATAGATCCTATTCTTCTAGAAGATTAATTCCTTGATCCTATTTCGATCTGACCCAAAAATGGATGCTACTAAATCTCGACAAACTATTGATGGTCCCCGATCCCATGCTGTACTACTGTAAGTACATTTCATTTCACCCCCACGAGGCCGGATCCCAGGGCGGCACGAGCTGCAGCAGCACTCGTAAGTCGTAACGCCGTCCCAGAGGTTGCCCTATCGCTTGGTCGAACACTCTGCCGGACGAGAAACCAGTAATGTAACCGTAAGTTACCTGACCATTGCAGCCCCGGAACAACGACAAGGTCGACCACTGGCACTCGGTTTCAGTGATGATGGAGACAATGGTGAAGAAGACCAGGATAACTCCGGTGCGCATATTATTATGACTATTATTACTAACAAGCGAAGACAGCTCTCCAGCTAAGTGCCACTTCATCTCGACCGCTTTTCCTTACTCTTACCTAACTAGTTACTGGTAACGTACCAACCGTAGGCGCCGTGTCTGAACACACCAAGACGGGAAGGGTAATGGTAACCAATTCAGTTGAAACTTGACAGCCTGAGGCTACACTCGGCCAAACTTCTTTCTTGGATTCAACCAGTCGCTAGGACGAAACCGGCTCCCAGCACTAAATTAG